CGGTGTGGTTCAGTGGTTGAGTGTTGACCTATGAACCAGGAGGTCACGGTTCAATTCCCTGGTCAAGGGAAATGCCCAGGTTTCGGGCTTAATCCCCAGTAGGGAGCATGCAAGAGGCATCGGATTAATGATTCTCTCTCATCATTGATGTTTCTATCTCTCTCTTCCTCTCCCTTCCTCTCTGAAATCAATTAAAAAAATATATATTTAAAAAAAAATTTTTAAACCTTAAAAAAATAGGGAAAAATCTTAAAACAAAACATAGATAATTATACAATAAGAAAAGTTAAAACACTGACATCTTAATCATAAAATTAAAAGGAGCCCTAACGAGCTTGGCTCAGTGGATAGAGTGTCAACCTGCGGACTCAAGGGTCCCAGGTTTGATTCCGGTCAAGGGCATGTACCTTGGTTGCGGACACATCCCCAGTAGGGAGTGTGCAGGAGGCAGCTGATCTATGCTGCTTTCTCGTCGATGTTTCTAACTCTCTATCTCTCACCCTTCCTCTCTGTAAAAAATCAATAAAATATATTTTTTAAAAAATTAAAAGGAAATAAAATGGAGAAATGAATATTTATCACAAATAACAAAAGATTAATATGCTTAATACCTTAAAATCTTAAATGAACAGGTAAGAAAGACTCTAAAACCCAAAGGGAGAAAAGGTACAGAGATTAGGAACACCTGGTTCACAGAAGAAATATTTTTAAATATCAAAAAATACTTAGAGCCCTAACCAGTTTGGCTCAGTGGATAGAGCGTCAGCCTGCAGACTGAAGGGTCCCAGGTTCGATTCCGGTCAAGGGCATGTGCCTTGGTTGCGGGCAGATCCCCGGTGGGGGGTGTGCAGGAGGCAACTGATCGATGTTTCTCTCTCATTAATGTTTCTAACTCTCTATCCCTCTCCCTTCCTCTCTGTAAAAAATCAATAAAAAATATATTTTAAAAATACTTAGAGGGGAAACCAAGATGGCAGCGTAGGGAGTAGACCTGTGCGTGCTGCCCTCTCACAGCATCATTGAAACTACCAACTATGAGGCAAACAACCACCACTCAGAACCATGGGGAAGTTGGCCCAGTGGGAGATCTACAACTGGAAGAAAAGAAAGAAGCGCAGTGAGACTGAGTGGGAGCTACGGAGGCGCCAAAAACAGAGGTATGCAGTCACACGCCAGGCGGGCTGCAACTGGATGCGCGGTTTTTTTTTCAATTGGAAGCGGTTACGAACCCTCGAATCCTCTGGGCTTGCTCGGGGCGGGTCTCTGAGGCCCCAGATCCCACGGGGAGAGGCGGCACAGCCTTGCAGCGGTCAGAAAGCGAGGGAAGCCCTGACACGCGGCTGCTCACCGGCATTGGGGGACGCGAAGTCCTGGTGTCCTGGAGAGGCAAGGGGCCGCAGTGACTCGGCCATTGCTATCTGCTCCGCGCTGGTGAATCCCTGAGACCCCGCCCTACTCAATTTACATCCCCATCCAAGCTGTGCCAGAGGCACAAGAGGAAATGCCTGTGCTTTTACAAACTCTCAGGTCCACTGAGCTGGTTCCGGGGGCGTCTCTGAGGCCCCAGGCCCCACGGGGAGACGGCACAGCCTTGCAGCGGTCAGAAAAGCGAGGGAGGCTCTGGCGCACAGCTGCTCGCCGGCACTGGGGGACGCAAAGTCCCGGTGTCCCGGAGAGGCAAGGGGCCGCGAAGACTCCGCCCTACTCAATTTACATCCCCATCCGGGCTGTGCCAGAGGCACAAGAGGAAACGCCTGTGCTTTTACAAACTCTCAAATCCACTGAACTGGTTTGGGCAGGATCATGAGGCACAGACCCTACAGGGAGAGGTGGCATGGCCTTGCAGCCGTCAGAAAGCGAGGGAGGCTCTGTCGCAAAGCTGCTCCAGCTGCTCGCTGGCACTAGGGGACGCGAAGCCCTGGTGGCCCGATGAGGCGAGGGGCCGCGGAGACGCAGCCAGTGCTATTTGCTCCGCCATGGTGACTCCCTGAGACCCAGCCCTAATCAATTTACATCCCCATCCAAGCTGTGCCAGGTGCACAAAAAGACCCACCTGCACTTTTGCAGCCTAACCCAACAAATTGCAGACTTCAACTGCTCGTACCCATGGGAGACACACTCAAGAAGCAGACCCAGGAGAACCAAGATGGCGGCATAAGGAAGAGACCTGTGCGTGCTGCCTCCCACAACAACATCGAAACTACCAACTATAGGATAAACAGCTATCATACGGAACCATGGGAAAGTTGGCCCAGTGGAAGCTCTACAAGTGGAAGGAAAGAAAGAACATTGAGACTGAGTAGAATGTGCAGAGACACCAAGTACAGAGCCCAACCCAACAAACTGCAGATTTCAACTCCTCACATAGAAAGAAGAGCATTGAGACTGAGTAGGATGTGCAGAGTCACCAAGTACAGAGCCCAACCCAGCAGGCTGCAGATTTCAGCTCCTCACATCCGGGAGGGACGCACTCGGGGGGCGGAGTCGGGTTCGGGGCAGGCCGGGGCTGGGCCCGGCTGGGCCGGTGATATGGAACCGCTGTACCAGCAGGCGCACAAACATGCCCACCGGTCCCAGTCTCGAGTGGGACGCTGGGGGACGGCAGACGGGCAGTCTGTGCACTTGGTGGAGAGCGTGGTCCAAGCAGGCGTGCTGGATGTTCAGCCACCAGGAACACCTGGAGATTTTGTCTGGTGGGGAGCTGCCCAGCAGGGGACAGAGGGCCAAACTTTGTGTTTCCCCAGTGAGGCCGGGATGGCCCCGGTGAGGTCGGGATGCACCCGGAAAGATCGAGACGGCCCTGGTGAGGTCGAGATTGCCCCGGTGAGGTGGGGGTGGCCCCGGTGAGGTCGGGACGGCCCCGGTGAGGTTGAAACGGCCCCGGTAAGGTATGGATGGCCCCGGTGAGGTTGAAACGGCCCCGGTGAGGCTGAGACGGCCCCGGTGAGGTTGGGACTGCTCCAGTGAGGTTGGGACAGATAATGGCGACCAGTATAGACTGATGAACAGGGGTAGATGCAGAGGCAGAGCAACATTGAACAGACTGTCAAACTACAGTGGGAAGCCTGGGGAGGGTTTAGGGGGGGAGATTAAGAGATCAACCGAAGGACTTATATGCATGCATATAAGAATAACCAATGGACACAAGACACTGGGGGGTAGGGGTTGGGGGAATGTCAAGGGGGGGAAAAAGGAGACATATGTAATACTCTTTGTAATACTTTAAGAAATAAAAATTATAAAAAAAAATACTTAGAAAGTTAAACCTCTCCAGTTAGTAAATAGCCACTTAAGAGTATTCTTTGTCTATCAATTTATCAAGGTTGAATAACCTTAAGAATTACATTCAGTGCTAAGACTGTTGAGATGGCCTCTCTCACATTACTATAAAGGGCTAGTGGCATGATTTTTCTAGAAAGCAATTTGGCAGTAACTTTCTAGAACTTTAAAAATGTTTATGTACTTTAACTAAGTTCCACTTCTAGGAATATAGCTTTAAGAAGGAATCAAAGAAACGAAAAATATTTATGGGACCACTGAACAAATGTAAATATTCAATAATAGGAGTCTAGTTCAAAAAAGCATGAAACATCTATGCAATAGACTTAATTCAAAGCAGCCATGCAAAATCTTATTTCTGAAGAATTTAACAGCATGGGAAAATGCTCATGTTATCAAAGAAAAAGCAGGACAAAATGGGATTCGAAAGATAGTATATAGCTTAACAGATAATATATAAACACGTAAAACACATAGCATTTAAATAGTACTTAACTACATGTATGGGTGTGTATGTGTTTATATATGTAGATAGACAAGGAGAGGTATAGAGCAGCCGTGGGCAAACTACGGCCTGCGGGCCGGATCCGGCCCGTTTGAAATGAATAAAACTAAAAAAAAAAAAAAAAAAAGACCTTTTATGTAATGATGTTTACTTTGAATTTATATTAGTTCACACAAACACTCCATCCATGCTTTTGTTCCGGCCCTCCGGTCCAGTTTAAGAACCCATTGTGGCCCTCGAGTCAAAAAGTTTGCCCACCCCTGGGTATAGAGCCTATGTGACCCTGGACAAGTCACCCTATCACCTTGCCTATTGTATTCATAATATGAAAAGATATGTGCACAAACAAACCCTTCTCTTCCAGGTAACTCATGGAAAAGCTGGAGGAAAATACGTCAAAATGGTAAAAAAAGGTATTCCCTTATTGAAAAGTTTGTTTTTTCTTCTTACGCTTTTCTAAATTTTTGAAAAATTTAAATACTAAGAATGTGTCAAAATACATTCCTGCAAACAGTATGTGGTATTTTCACACAGAACTGGAGTAGAAACAAAGTGGGTAGACTTTGCTGTCAGATGCAGCTGGGTTTCAGCCCTGGCTTTGTCTTTGTCTTGCTGCATGACTGAATGAATTGCCACAATCTGTGTCACATTAGTTTCCTTGTCTGTAAAATGGAGATGATAACTGTACCTCTCTCCTGGCATGGTTTTAAGGAGTATAGATAACATGTAAAGTGCTTGGTTGACTGTCTAGCACAGAGTATTTTGTCAATGCCTGCTATCGTTATCACCTCCTAATTCTTTTATTTGTCCTCTGTTGATTGTTAACTTGCTGAGATGTTTAGTTTCCAATTTTACATAAAAACAGGGACTGACTTTATGTTTCCTTAGAACAGTATTTTGCTCATAGCTGGCTTTTCTTTCCTTGACTACTTCTTTTCCCCAACACTGTTACATACGATGCTGTACTGGTCATATGATAAGGCTGGTTGAGAAGTCATGTGTCATAGAGAGACTTTTCCACGAGTTACCTGGAAGAGACAGGTTTGTGTGTGCATGTATCTTTTCTTATTATGAATACAATAGGCAAGGTTAATAGGCAAGGTTAATAGGGTGACTTGTCCAGGGTCACATAGTCTCTACACCTCTCCTTGCCTATCTACTGTATCATATGCCTCATAAAAATATATGATTCTGAAGACTGTAGAGGGCTCCCTACATTTGAATTATGGCTTCTTGTAGCTTCTTCACAGCAATATTGAGGACTGTCTTCCATTTCAGAATTTCCAATTTTGTGTGAGGATAGTGAAAGATCCAACCTTTAAAAAAAAAGACATTAACAAAAAAGGGATATTTATTTCAAAATTTACCCCAAGTCAGTACTCACTGGGTAAATCCTGCCCATCAGTCTACCAAAGCCTACTTGAAAAGGGAACCAAAATCCATTTATATTAAAGTATAAGTAATTATCAGCTTAAGAATTACCTGTCCTCAAGGAGATTTGCTCTAAAATGTGATCAAGACTTTAACTCCAAGGAATTAAACCCCTATGATGACATCTGAAGTATTAGAGGCCTTTCAAGAATCCCTACACACTCTGTAGACCTACAGATGAGGGTCTTCAGTTTCCCCGTCTCAGGAAAGAATCCCGTGTACTGGAGAGGACATTTTATTGGTAGTCTATAGATTTGGGTCCTTTTCCTGACTATCCCACTAATCTGTTTGGGTACTCAACATCTTTAGGCTTCAGACTGCTCATCTGTAAAATGAGAGAACCGAATGACATGATCTCTAAGGCCCCTCAATTCTAATGTTCTCCCCTTGTAAAATTCTACCCTTGTAGTGAACATATGGAAAGATTCACAGATGGCTTGAAGGAATTTGGAAGAGAAAACCTTGCCTTTTCTTTATTCCATCCTGCCAAGTCTAGTCCATTCAATAAACCAGTAAATTACATATGGAAGAAAAATTTAAAAATGAAGATATGAAGCGGGTGGAAGGCATGGAATCTTACCTCACAAGCACTGTTACTGTTTTGGTGTAGCTTCTTCCAAATACTGTTTATTCTGTCTTCAGATCTTTTGCCTTAACCACAAACTCTCCAGGTGAAATTTTGAATCAAGACATTGTATCTCTTCTCTGCTTTTGTCCTCACCTCCATTCCCCACCCTACCCCTAAGTTAAGGGCAGGATTTCTTCTCTTCCAAAACAATGGATCTACTTGACTTTTCTTACTTTGAGGTATCACCCCAATCCCATCCCATGGGATTCAAGTTGGGCTGACAATAATACATTCTAGCAACCCGTGAGCCAATGACCCAGGTTTGACCAACAGCATTACTTTATTTCCCAGGAAACCATGATTGGCCATAGGGTGGGCACTTGACTCAAGCAGAGCTAATCTGAGTCATTATTTAGAACTGAAACATGGGCCTTGGGTGGGGAGGGGAAGGAGAGCACTTTCTTCCTAAGCTGGAAGCACATGAACCTATGGCTGGCAGTGACCGTCTTTACTATGTGGGGTGAGCCTAACTGTAGAATTCAACCAAGCAGAGGTGGAAAGAACATGGTGAGTCCCACATCCTGCCTTGGACACTGTTCCTGCAACTTTTCCTTTAATCTTCTGAGCTAGCCTCTAAGACATGAGCAAATAATTCTCTTGTTGCTTAAGCGCGTGTGAGTTGGGTTCTTGTGGCTTACTGCCTCAAGATTCCAGGCTCATCGCCCCAGGACCAAGAGAACCATCCTAACTTTAGACTGGAAGGACTGAACAAGCACCATCACTGGATTCCTTAGGATTATATAATGTAAGTTTTTCTAGCTTCCCACTTTGAGATTTCAATCTCTGACCTTCAATGATAAGGCCTTGCTCCTTGTTCACAGGTTATCTAGTGGGCTGGCCACTGCTTGCCATCTAATTGCTTGCTGGGGGATTTCCAGTCATTGGATTTTACCCATGTATTTGGATTCTTTGATATTTTCATCTAGCATTTTCTCATTACCTTAAGATTTACTTCATTCCTATTTGCTGTTTTGCCATACCTACTGGCTTGTTCTTAGCATATGCACCTGGGTCTAGTTCCTCAATATCTGTCCCACTCCAGTGAGACAGTTCTAGTTTTAAATTTTGATCCCTCAACACATCAAATTCAGAAGTATAAATAGAGAATGGGGAGCTGTGGAAGGAACACTTATCACTAGACACATTATCTAAAAGCAGATCCTTTCAACTATTTTTAAGGTTGTTAGGACTATGATAAAAAGGCCATGAAAAGCATCTCTATAAGACGTATGGCAGTCAGCCTCAACTCCTACTGATTCTCTGAGCTATACAGCTATGTTATGTTTGTGTCCCAAGAAATAATAAGTTTTCCTTTTCCTAACAACCCATATCTTATCCCTTTTATAACTTCATTCAGGTATAGAGAGCATTCTTTCAAGATTTGGGCAACCATAAACTTTCTTGGGCAGTCTCCTTTATAACATGTAAACAATTTAAGAATCTATTTTTGCCTTTAACACAGAAGCCTTGGTTCCAAACCCAGAATGGTAGGTTTTTGTGTTGGAAGGGCCCTGGGTTGCTCTTCTAGGGACATAAATGTCATTGTTATCTAAACTAGTTCCTCAAAATCATGAAGGAAAAACTCATAGGGTACAGGAGTGGAGAAACCAGGAAGAGCTGGGTTAGATGGTGATATCTTTGAAAAGTTTGACTTCAAATCTATGATTGTGGTACTAAGAGGATGTCTGGGAGAAAGGCTTCAAATTCAGTGAATCGAAGTGATTCTCACTCTGGTTGCTCATCAAAATTGACCCTGATTTGGGTGGGTAAAGGGATCTTACCATTTTCTAAACAGATCTTGGATGACAGTGAGAAGTGAATGACAAAAGGTAAATGGCTTTCCTGGAAGATCTGGGTATACTGCTTTTGGCCGACAACATCTAAGGGAAAAAAAGAAGAAGATGAGGAGAGGGGAAGGAGAAGAAAAAGAGCATTTTGCTAGATTGTCAAAAAAAAAAAAGCCCAATTGTCAATATTTTAATATTTTTATGAAGGTATTAGTTTGGTGAAGGCCAAGGGAGGGAGAGGCAGGGGTGGGTGGAGATGGGCAAAGGGGAAGGGGCAGAAAGGGGGACACCTGCATTAATATTTTAAATTAAAAATTAAAATTTTTAATTAAAAAAAGAGAAAAGCATAAAAATACACTGGAAGAAAATATTTGCAAAGCACATTTACAACAAAGGACTAATATCTAGAACAGGGGTGGGCAAACTTTTTGACTCGAGGGCCACAATGGGTTCTTAAACTGGACCGGAGGGCCGGAACAAAAGCATGGATGGAGTGTTTGTGTGAACTAATATAAATTCAAAGTAAACATCATTACATAAAAGGGTATGGTCTTTTTTTTTTTTTTTTTTTTTTTTTTTAGTTTTATTCATTTCAAACCGGCCGGATCCGGCCCGCGGGCTGTAGTTTGCCCATGGCTGATCTAGAATATATAAAGAACTCTGAAAACTCAACAATAAGAAAGTAAACACTCTAGCCAGTTTTGCTCAGTGGATAGAGCATTGGCCCACAGACCGAAGTGTTCCGGGTTTGATTATGGTCAAGGGCACGTACCTCTGTTGGGTTGCAGGCTTCTACCCAGCCAGGGAGCTGGTCAGGACATATGCAGGAGGCAACTAATCGATGTGTTTATCTCACATCGATATTTCTCTCTGTCTTTCCCTCTTTCTTCCATTCTCTCTCTAAAACAAATAATCAATGGAAAAATATCCTTGCGTGAGGATTAAAAATTTTTTTCTCTTAAAAATAAAAAGGAAGCAAACAATCCAGTTAGAAAATGAGCAAAGACATAAAAGACATTTTACTGAAGAGGATATATAGAGGACACATATTCCATATCATTAACCATTAGAGAAATGCAAATTAAAACCACGGTGAAGGACCTGGCTGGGTAGCGCAGTTGGTTACAGTGTTGTCCCAATACACCAAGGTTGCAGGTTTGATCCCAGGTCAGGGCACATACAAGAATAAAGCAATGAATGCACAAATAGGTGGAACAACAAATCAATATTTCTCTGTCTCTCTCTCTCTCTTTCTCTCTCCCCCCTTCCCCTCTCCAAAACCAACAAAAAAAAAAGAAAAAAGAAGCATGAATAAAATCACACTGAAATATCATTACATGTCTATAAGAATGGCTAAAATAAAAAAAGGTGATGACATACACATACTGGCAAGGATGTCACTCATACATTGCTGATGGAAATGTAAACAGTACAGCTTCTCGAAAAACAGTTTGGCATTTAACAGTTTGGCACTTAACATATAAAAGTAAACATGAGATTAACATGTGGCCCAGCACCTGTTCTGGGTATTTATCAAAGAGAAATCAAAACTTATATTTACACAAAAACATGTATACAAATGTTTTAGCAGCTTTCCTAATAGACAAAAGGTGGAAGGAAGAAAGCAAGGAAGAAAAGGAGGGAGGGAGGGAAAAATCCAGATATCCTTCAAGGAGTGGATGGTTAAACAAATTGTGATACATTCATACTGCAGAATATAGCTGAGCAATAAGAAGGAACAAATTATTGATACATGTAACCTGGATGAATCTCTGAGAATTAAGCTAGTTGGGAAAAAAGGCTATCACCAAAAGTTATACATTGTATGATTCTAGTTCATATAATCTTGAAGTGACAAAAATATTAAAATGGGGTACACATTGGTGGTTGCCAGGGTTAAAGAGGGGGTAGGGCAGGAGGAACATAGTCTTGGCTGCAAAAGGACATGAGTGATCCTTGTGGTAATGCAAGTATTTTGAATCTTGACTGCATCAATAGCCTGGTTGCGATACTATACAATAGTTTTGCAAGATGTTGCCATGTGGGGAAAAAAATGGGTAAAGGGTATATGTGATCTTTCTACATTATTTGTTATAACTGCATGTGTGTCTGTAATTACCTTAGAAATAAAAGTTTAATTTTAAAAAATTACTTATGTGGCTAGCATCATTTTTCTGTTGGACCATGCTACTGTTGAAAGAATTTGTAAGATCTCCCAACGCAAAGGCTTCATATCACATGGATATGAAGCGTAATGAATGCTATATTGAACTGAAAGCACTATATTTTTCTGTCTGCCCAGCCAGTGTGACTCAGTGGTTGAGCGTCAACCTATGAACCAGAAGGTCACGGTTCGATTCTCAGTCAGGGCAAATGCCTGGGTTGTGGGCTTGATCCCAGTGTGGGGTGGGGTGGGCAGGAGGTAGCCGATCAATAATTCTCTCTCATCACTGATGTTTCTATCATTCTCTTCCTCTCCCTTCCTCTCTGAAATCAATAAAAATATTTTTAAAAAATTATGTCTCTTGCCGAAACCGGTTTGGCTCAGTGGATAGAGCGTCAGCCTGCGGACTGAAAGGTCCCGGGTTCGATTCCGGTCAAGGGCATGTACCTGGGTTGCGGGCACATCCCCAGTAGGGGGTGTGCAGGAGGCGGCTGATGGATGTTTCTCTCTCATCGATGTTTCTAACTCTGTATTTCTCTCCCTTCCTCTCTGTAAAAAATTAATAAAATATATTTAAAAAAAAATTATGTCTTACTGCTGACATTCATGAATTACTAAAATGATTAACACAAACCAAATATCACTATAATATAACCAAATACAATGTTCTGTCAATATCTCACTTGCTACTTTTATCCTTTTTTTCTTATTTATAAATCTAACTAGAGGCCTGGTGCATGAAAATTCATGCACTCAGGGTGGGGTGGGGGTCCCTCAGCCCGGCCTGCACCCTCTCTCAGACCAGGAGCCCTCAGGGGATGTCCAACTGACAACTGGACATCAGTTGGCCTCCCTCTGCAGGAGGTGACCCATGAGCAGATTGGGGGATGGAGCCAGCCAGCAAGCGGCCAGCCCCACCCCCCATCACCCCGCTGCCTCCTCCGGTGGCCTCCATCTGCTGGAGGCAATCGCCCCTCCACCACTGTAGGTCTCTGCTGCCCCCAAATCACCATCCCCTCCCTCTGCCTGCTGGCACCTGTGTTGGCTGGCCTGGCGCCACCTGTTCGCCGGCCCTGCCCCCTGCTGAACGGTCATTCCACCATTCGGTCTATTTGCATATTAGGCTTTTATTATATAAGATTAGTAATTTCTACTTACGTATTTTTTTCATAGGATTAATTGATACAAAATGGTGCCAATCTCTTTTTGTTTTCATCAGAAGATTTTCCTCATGAGATTCTATTCTTGGATAGTTGCTGATTTTGTCAACTATCATGGAACTGGAACTGCTTTGCAAGGCATCCTGTTTCTTCAACATTGACATTTTGGTTTCATATTTATTAGCTTCTTCAATGAGATCATGCCAACTGTAATTCACAAGATTTACAACTCCTACAGGGAAAGCAATATTATACTCAGCATATATATGCAATGTCTCCCCAAGTTCACACAGTAATTCAGCAGCAATGTCTTTGTATTCTTCAAGCAGACTCTTTTGCATTTGTATTTTGGAGAATGTAACTTTAGGAGGAAACTTGGAAACAACAGAAGTTGATGAGATGGCAAATGACTGAAATGCATATTGCTTCTTCGATGCAGCTTCTATAGATAGACTTGGTTTCTCATCTACTTCTTTAAAGTTAATACTCTCCGTAGGACTGTGAAAAACATATGTGAGACTTAAAGATATTGAATACTTTTTTTTAAATATATATTTTATTGATTTTTTTACAGAGAGGAAGGGAGAGAGATAGAGAGCTAGAAACATCAATGAGCGAGAAACATCGATCAGCTGCCTCCTGCACGCACCCCACTGGGGATGTGCCCACAGCCAAGGCACATGCCCCTGACCGGAATCGAACCTGGGACCCTTGAGTCCGCAGGCCGACGCTCTATCCACTGAGCCAAAACGGTTAGGGCAAGATATTGAATACTTTTTAACCTAGTAATTTGACTTCTAGAATTCATCTTAAAATATAATTTAAAAGATGTATAGCAGCGGTTCTCAACCTGTGGGTCTCGACCCCTTAGGGGGTCGAACGACCCTTTCACAGGGGTCGCCTAAGACCATCGGAAAACACATATATAATTACATATTGTTTTTGTGATTAATCACTATGCTTTAATTATGTTCAATTTGTAACAATGAAATTGGGGGTCACCACAACATGAGGAACTGTATTAAAGGGTAGCGGCATTAGGAAGGTTGAGAACCACTGATGTATATCATCTGTGTATAAAATTGCAAATTGTAACATTATTTTTTTATATTAGTAAAAATTGAAAAGAACCTAATAGCTCATAGGAATATTGCTAAGTAAGTAAATAATTCCATACCCAAACAATATATAGCAATAAAAACTGTTTGTAAAATTTCTCTTAATAATTTTGGGAAATGATTATGTTATATAAAAAAGATACACAATTACATATGTGGAATGATCTCAATTGTATAATGTATATATCATATATCTGGTAGTAAAGAGCCTAAGCAAATGTCCACCAAAAAGGAAATTAATTGTGGGATTAATTTTCTCCTTTTATACTTCATGCTCTTCTAACTTTTCCACAATAAACATTTTTGTTTATACACAGAAGAAAAAAACCAATATGTGTGTGTCATTTATTCATTTGTCTAATTATAAGACAAGACATAGATCATTTCTTCCAGAAAGGCTTCCCTGAATTTCTCAGGTTCTAAGTCTACAAACTTATTGTGTTCCCTTAACTCAGTGGTCAGCAAACTCATTAGTCAACAGAGCCAAATATCAACAGTACAACGATTGAAATTTCTTTTGAGAGCCAAATTTTTTAAACTTAAACTATATAGGTAGGTACATTCAACTTTAAATTCACGGTTTTCATCTTCCGTTGTTCTTTGCTGCTTCTTTGTAGCCATCTCAAACAGGGCACCTAAAAAAATGTTTCA